GGCGACTTGTGACCTTCGGTTGCTCTCCTTTAAAACTTTATTCCTTGTGGCCATTATGTCGGCAAGGAGAGCCAATGAACTCGCAATTCAGACCAACCGTATCTACAGTTTTTTAGAGACAAAGTGATGTTACACCTGGACTTGTCCTTCTTACCTAAAGTGGTTTCTGAATTCTACCTAAATCAGCCACTAATACTGCCTACTCTCTTCTCAGATTCAAAAACTGACACTGAGTGCATGCTTCACACCCTTGATGTGAGAAGAGCCTTAGCATTCTGTTTCTCGCACTAAAGACTTCCGCACTTCACCTAAGCTATTCCTGTGCTTCTATGGCAATAAGAAAGGATCTCCAGCATCTTCGTCAACCCTCTCCAGATGGCTTGTCTCTACCATTTCCTTGGCATATGAAATCCAACACAGGACTCACCTAACGGCCTTAGGGCTCATTCCACCAGAGCCATGGCTACCTCTACAGCCCTTCTACGTGGCATTGATATTCCTGACATCTGTAGGTCTGCCACTTGGTCTAATGTCTCTACCTTTATAACTTACTACAGACTGGACCTGAGGGCTAAGAGAGAGACGAGCTTCGGGAGAGCAGTATTGACATTCATACTTCAGTGACGTCCCACCTTCCGGTAAGTGGGCGTGCTAGTCACCCTTTTGTGTGTATTCACAGAGGCCACGATGAAGAAAGACAGGTTACTTACCTGTAGCCATGGTTTTTCAAGTGGACGTCTGTGAATTCACACAGTCCCGCCCTGCCTCCCCACTATCCGTCACTAAACATGTCTAGCATAGCTCAGGCTATTGTGGCGGATAAATGGAACTGGGGGCTGAGGCAGGTGGAGCATGCCCTATTGGGGCAACTTAAACTTTGTTACTTTTCTCTTCAAGCTCTAATATTCCAAGAGGTCCAGCGCAGGTGCTGATTTAACCCCTTTTGTGTGAATTCACAGAGGTCCACTTGAAGAACTATGGTGACAGGTAAGTAACCTGTCTTTACTTTCATATTTCAATACATCCCACACAGAGAAAATTCCTCCATTTTCAAATAGGATCACAAGCTTACCAATTCAAAAGCCTCCCATTCGGCCTTGCAACAGCTCCAAGAGTATTCACCAAGTGCATGGCACCAGTAGCTGCTTACCTCAGACTTCAAAACATTCTCATCTTTCCATTTATCGACAATTGGCTCCTAGTAGCACACTCCCAACTCAAAGCTCAATGAGCCACCTGCTTCACCCTCACCCTCCTTCGCAATCTCGGTCTTACTGTCAACAAACAGAAATAAAGTTTAAAACCTGCAAGGACTGTACATTACATAGGCACACTCATAGATTCCATACAAGCCCGTGCCTTTCTCCCTACGAACAAGAGACAAAACTTGATCATCTTGCTTTAGGGTTTCACCCCTCATGCCTTAATTCCCGCTATAACAGTACAACTGGTTTTAGGCACTATGGCCTCTATGACATCAGTCATACAACATGTACGGCTAAAAATGAGATCTCTCCAGTCCTGGTTTCTCGCCCTATTCGATCCATTAACAGACCTTCCTCGCACTCTCCTGAGGGTCACTCCAGAACTCACCTCCTAACTTCAGTTGTGCCATTTACCTCCCAACCTTTCTGTTGGGCGGCCATTTCAACAACCGCGTCCGCAAATACAAATCACTACTTACGTCAGCCACATGGGCTGGGGGGCTCACTGCAAATTCCTCAAGATTCATGCTAAATGATCTCTCAGAGAGAAATTGCTCCACATAAATGAATTAAAGCTATTGGCAGTCATAAAAGCCTGCAGATCTTTCAGTAACCTTCTTGTAGGCAAAATGGTACAGATTGCCAACAACAACACCATGGCAGTGTACTACATCCTCAAACAAGGCGGCATCCACTCTCCAAGTCTCCTCTACTTAGTGGTCGACCTCTGGGAGTGGTGTCTACAACATCACATCTGTCTCACAGCTTTACACATCGCTGGTCACGACAACGACCTAGCAGACTTGCTCAGCTGCACAAATGCTCAAGTTCATGAGTGGGAACTAGATCAAACAATATTCCGTCAACTTTGCCAGAAATGGGGCACACCAACTCTCGATCTCTTCGCCTCCCAAACAAATCGAAAGTGCAAACTATACTGCTCCCGAGCGAGAATTGGCAAACACTCCCAAGGAGATGCATTTGTCAGCTGTTGGCCCCAAACCCTTACTTACCTTTTCCCGCCGTTCCCGCTCCTCCACAAAGTTATGGTCTGTCTGCAAAAAGGCAAAACCAATTCCATCATTATAGCCCCTTGGTGGCTGAGACAGACTTAGTTCCCAGTTCTCCGCAGTCTCTCGTCAGACATCCACCACCTCCCCCGCCTGCCACACCTCCTCATACAGAACAACTCCCAAGTCCTTCACCCAGACTTGCCTGTTCTACATCTGGCAGCATGGAGGATTCCCCCTCGCTAATGGACATTCTCCATCAGGCTAAGAAACCATCCATAAGGAAGGCTTACCTATATAAATGGAAGAAATTGACGCCACCAAGGCAGTGGCATCTTCTACAGCTTTTCTCCATGACGTACCTCTTCCAGACGTCTGTGCCTCTGCCACCTGGACACAGCCATCCACCTTTAACCATCATTCTAGACTTGACCTCCACCAGAAGTCTGATGCGGCCTTTGGATGTGCTGTTCTAGCCTCTACCTTGGCGTGACACCCTGCCTCTGGGTAAGACAGCTTATTAGTCATCCAGGGTGTGACTCACAGAGGCCACAAAGAAGAACAACAGGTTACCCACCTGTAATTGTAGTTCTTCAAGTGGACCTCTGTGATTGACACATCCCACCCGTCCTCCCCTCTGTCACGCCATTCTGCTTACTCTAAGTAGTGGTTGACATAACTGAAAGGGGATGCTTGATGCCAAGGTACTTATACAGGGGGGAGAGGTTTATTCTAATGTGTTTATTGCTACCACAGAAGCTCTAGAATCTTCCGATGAGGCTCTGTACAGGCACAGATCACCCAGGTTGTGAATCACAGATCCACTTGAAGCACTACAATTACAGGTGAGTAACCTGTCATTCCCAACCTTGGGTAACCCAGGTTTTCTTGGACTGCAGTTCCCAGAAGCCTTCACCAACAGATGTTGTACTCAGGATTTCTGGGAGTTGTAGTCCAGAAATATCTATCTGGATGACCCAAGGTTGGGAACCGCTGCCATACTTATTTAACAGTGTGTTTAGGTTTAATATTGCCCCTACATTGTTGTGTATATAAAGCAGAATACTAGCTGAGAATTTATACCTGCCATGCTAAAGATTGCTGCTTTCTCTGAATGCTCATTAGTGGTTTCAGAATTGTAGATATTAGACTTCAACTCCTATTATCTCCATCATTGGCTATGATTGATAGGAGTGTTGGGAATTACAGTCTAGGAGACTACAAATCGAGATTACAAGCTGATCCAACATTGCCAGCCAATTTGTGAAGATGGGTTTACAAGGCAAGAAGCCATGTGATTGTATGTCTTGCTGAGACCCTAATGTAGTCATAAATTTGTTTCCAGATATAACTGTTGAAAAATCATAAGGCAAAAATCAGTTTCCATCTGCACTGGATACAGGTGCTGAAATCCTGCTTTGTACGTTACGCCACATCAGGCTGATGTCATAATCAACTACAATTTTTCTGAAACAAAACATTGATTTCTCCCCTGAACGTCCCAAGACTTGTGGCATCCCTTTTGTTGTCAGACGGTGTGTGTGTGTGTGTCTGTGTGTGTGTGAGAGAGTGAGTGAGAGAGAGAGACTAATTGCTGAGAACTGCCATTGCCAGTGAAATCATCCCAGTGGCAACCGACATCATCACCATCAACCTTACATTGTATAACTTGCAGAACAAGATTTCTGCCAGTAATTCCCATAAGATCATTAGAAAGCAAATACACTTATAAAAACTCATCCTGTGTAGAGCATATACAGATTGAATTAGATCACAATCACTAACATAGCAAATGTGTATGGATTGGGGTGCTAATCCTTGATTCCCTCCTTGGTCATGGAAATGTGGTCGTATTGGTAAAGGTACTCTCTAAATATCTTGCATACCTTGAAAATCCTATTGGGGCACTATATCAGATGTGACTTGATGGCACATAACAACAAATGGAGTAGTACTGTAGATGATTTCTTCCTGGAACCCAATGTTCTAAAACCTGACAGTGTAAAGAAAGGAAGCTTTCCATGCACATCTGTGTTGGTGCGCTTGGAGGCACTGCTCTCAAAAGCAGATTTACACAAGGATGGAAAGTCTTGACTTCTGAGAAAGTTCAAGTATGGGACTAGTGTTCTGTTATTATTTTAATTCAAAATCTTGTTTTTCCATATGGCAACAGGCAGAAAACTTAACTCCTTTCTGAATCAAAGAACAGTAGTGAAGAAAAACAGTGCATTCTTTACACTAATAAAATTAGTTAAAAGGACAGTAGAAACAAAACTAGCTGGTTTTAGGGGCTCAGTGACATTAGTGTTGTTCTAGTAGTGGCTCCATGGTATGTGAATTCCTATCCCAGGGCAAAGTCTTCAGTAAACCTCAAACTTGATAACCAGAGGATATTCAAATTACTGGAATTGAAACAAAGTTTCAGTCTTGAAAATTTTTTAAATTAATTAATTAAATCTAATTATGGTGTAATCTATATTAACCTAACAAAAATAGAATGCAAATTGTTTCACATCACAGTCCTGTGCACGTTGTTCATTATGTCTCTTTGTGTTCAGTTCCGCTTGCAGGCATAATAAATTAGATACAGATTTTTGATAGTTATATTCTATTCCCCATTTTTGAAGGTTTGAAAAATGTAACAGTGAACATTTTTAACAAAAGCTTTTTATTAGTAGTGGAGGGCAGGTTCAGCAAATAACATTGTTTATGCTTTCATGAAAGTAAAAACAACTCAGTAGTTCTGATGACCAGATTTTCTCCATTTTGTTATTTTCTTTTCTAGATGTGTGATCTGTATGATGGACTTTGTTTATGGGGACCCGATCAGATTCCTGCCATGCATGCATATTTACCACCTGGACTGCATAGATGACTGGTTGATGAGATCTTTCACCTGTCCTTCCTGCATGGAGCCGGTTGATGCAGCCTTGTTGTCATCTTATGAGACCAACTGAGCCAGAGCTTCTCTTCTGACCTGCCAAGGAAAACATCCAATTTAATGGGTTTTATCCTTTATCATTCTACCCAAAGAACCAGAGATTACAAAATAAAATCATGCAGAAGAAAAGCTCATTTCCTAGGAAGTTAAGAAAAAAAATATCCAGAGTAACTGCAGGTATTGAGGGAGGGAGGGAGATAGAAATACATTTTAGAGAATACAGGGAAAAATAGGATATTATTTTTACAAAAAGCCTTGATCCAGTGCTTAAAAATAGTTGCTCCCTAATAAAGGTCTTTAGCATACCCATTCAGAGGAATTCAGAGTGAATAATGGTAGATGTTAAAAACTAAATTGTGTGAACTCAAATATCATGGAATTTTAATATTTGAGCATCATTGGAATAAATGAGAGTATACTATAGGAGCAGGAGGGAAAGTATGCATAGAAAGGAAATGGATGCTGGAGTATTGTAAAGAAAATAGCAATTTTTGTGTAATTACTTCAGAGGTTCCTGGTATTTGGGTTAATGCTCAATTTACAGAAAGAGAGAGAGAGGGAAAAAGGCTACATTTTATAACACTGGCACAAAAATAGTTTTAAGCTTGTTTGCACAGTTCTTTTTTATCCATTGGAAATGGAATCCATTTTGCCTTAGGTCTTTTTAAATAGTGTGTTCTTATGTTTGGGCTGGCTCTATGCTTGAAAACCAGTTTATTTATAACCTGTTATAAAAGTGCTATATTTTGTTTGTAGTTGGGATTATGTGGACCTCAAAAAGGTCTAGCTTGTAAACAAACTTGAGATGCACTATCTCTTTTCTATGTGACATTTTAATGTTGAGCATATTATACAAAATCAGAAGACAAATCAGTGTTTATCATTCTAGATAACTTATTTTATTGCTTCCTTTTTGACTAAACAAGTTGCAGAAGTCAAACTGAAATTTATTTTACCTTTGTGAATTTAAAGTGGAGCACGACAAAGATGAAGGCAAGATGATTATCAGTTTTCAGAAGCACACACGGAGATTGTTTAGATTTCTGTATTTCAGAAAGTATTACTTTAGACCATATGAAAAAGATACTGCATCTCTCATTTTCTTAGGTTTTAGATTCTAAAGACCACAACGTCACAGTCTCTGTATTAAATGTATCTTTTGTATTCTGCTGGCTGGTATAGCAGTCTATTAGGCAGATGTGAAAAATTTATATTTTATGTTTTGTACAAAAATGCAAAAGTTCATATATGGCATAGAACTATGTAAGATTGATCAAGCAAGCTATCTTCAACTGGTAAAGGTTGTTCTAAGTATTTACATTTTTGAACTTAAAACAAAATAACTTGATAGACAGTCATGCAAAGAAAGTGTAGCTGTTTTAAAAATTAATTTTTAAAAAATCCGCTTAGCATGTGGGATTTTGTCCTCTTAAATGTTCTTTAATGTAACTTTTATACACTTAAAGCCAATACATTGCAAAGTCTTATAGTTTAGCATGAGATGCAGGCTTCATTTAACAGCAGTCGTTTGACAACTGTTTTTTGATTGTTTATAATGGATTGGTGATCTCCAGAGGTCATATCTGGACCTTAGAGGGTTGCATGTGCTCCTGTAACCTCCCCAGCCATTTTTCTTTTTTTACTGGAATCCCCCCCCTCGCACTCTCTAGTGGCCAAAATAAATACAGAATAAAAACATTTTCAATGTTTGGTGATATGGGCCTGAAAACAAGGCAGAATTGCATCTCACAATCCCTGGAGAGCACAAGGAGAATTTTTAGCCAATTTTGCCCACTCCCCAATGGCCCACAGGATGCATGTTGTCCACCCTGGTTTATGTGATTCCGAGAAACTGTATTTAAGCCAACTGTTTCACTGAAGCTGTACGCTTTACAGTATAGAGTAATTACATGTCAGATTTGTCGAAGATTAGTTGGCAGGATGTAAAAATTTGCATAGTGGCTTATTTATTATCCTGTAGAAAATGCTCCACAAGGCACTGTTGATTATTTCCATTCAGATGCCTCAGCCCACATCCCACTGTGCACACTAATATATATGCACTGCTCTCATGCAAGCAGGCTTCCCCATTTGTTTTGATTAAAAAGGCAGACTGAGCATGCTCAAAATAACTGAACAAAAAGAGATACCGGGGAGGAGATCCATGTGAGCATCAGAATTCACATTATATGCAAAAAAATTGCTCAATAAGGATGAGAAGATGCAGTCAACGATGTATTCCAAATCAGTTCCACACTGTTCCAGTATAAAGGGTGTGGTTATCACAGAAGCATGCAGTTAAAGCTAGTGTAGTCTTGGGCTGATTTTCATTTGTACCAGAACAACAGAAACAATTATGTTGTTCTACATTACAGGAAGTAAATCTGAGAAAGAAACAAAAGTGTGCAATATTTTCAGTAGTTAACCATACTACCTTATCATTCCATGTGTTGTTTTCCGTAAATGTTGATGTCTTTCTTGTCACGTCCTATAGCCAGACTTTTCTTCTATTTTACCTTGGATTGTTAAAGCTGGCAAATGAACAATTTTTAAACACCAATGTAATGTCCTTGTTGTTTCTTTGAAGATTCTGGGTTGGATAACTCATAAAGGAAAATGTGCATTTCTTTCTCTTACAATATTATACCTCTAGGATGTTGAATCTTTCACACAGTTAGATGCCAGAGACAACAAGACATGAAAACAAAGCTGTGTTATCTCCCATTAGACAAATAAAAAGAAAAACCCAACAGCAAGTTATTTGCCAAATATGTATTAAGGCAAACTCATGTAAACAGATAGTGTTTTTCTTGTAAAAGTACAGTGCTTTTAGAATTAGCATCTTTTCTAGTTATGCTCTTTAGGAAAAAGACGATATGGGAGAAAAATACCATGAGGAAGCATATTATTTCACAGATGTAGGTACTTTTGACAAATTAACCATTTAAACCACCAATTTTTAAAGTTAAGCTGTTAATTAAAATCTGTATAAAGGGCTAAGGTTGAAGAGACTTAAAAAAAACTAAATACAGGTCTATTAAGCACTCTTAAGACCATTGATTTGTGATAAATATTTTGTTGCTCTCATCTGTTTCCAAAACAGCAAACCAAATTTGAATAAATGCATTTTAAAACTCATTTCTTCATAACAGGTATACACACTCTGTTATGTATATAGTGACATGTTTTCTTTTAAACCTCAGGTGCTTAGTTAAACAGCTTCTGTAAAAACAATATATTATTTTTCTATACATTACATATTGTATTAATAATAATAATCATGTGCTATCAAGTCAATTCTGACTTATGGCAACCCTTTTCAAGTTTTTCCAGGTAGAGAATACTCAGAAGGGGTTTACTATTCCCTTCTTCTGGGGGAGTTCTGGGACTGTGCAGCTTGCCCAAGGCCACCGAGGCTGGCTGTACTTGCAGAAGGCACAGTGGGGAATCAAACTCCCAACTTCTGGCTCTACGGACAGATACCTACATCATAGAGTTAATGACTGCACATATATATTATACCAAAGTTAACAATTAACTTCAAGCAATATTAAGTTATTATACAAAAGTAAACTTCAGGTAGTAGCTCCAAAAAGTAATTGGTATTTTAGTCTAGTAAGAGTTCACAGGTCCTATACACAGTTCCTGCGGAGCCACATCTGCTTCCCATATAATTTGCCCAGAAGGTGAAGCCACTTGGACAGTGAGAACAGTGTTTAGAAGATAACTTCCTACACTTACAGCAAAATTCTGAATAAAAGATTATCTTGCCTACCAAATATGATAGGAAACAAAGCATTCTTCTAAACTTAATTCTTCTTCATGTGTGGCCATTCATGTCAGCTGAGTGGACTCAGAGGTAGTTTGCAATTGTTCTTCAAAACGGCAATAACTGTGTGTGAACTGTTGCGTTACAAAGTACTGAACTATCAGTTGCTTAGCAAGCCTCTGTAACCCTGTAGCAGCATAGGTTGCATACCTTTTATAAAAATACATGTTGCATTTACTTTATGGTATGTTCTACTTTTCTCAGCTGGCTGTCATCTGTAATCAACATATTTTCATTGGGGATGGCATCAGATTATAAAACAGTTCAATTACATACATGTAAAATCATTGGTAAGGAACCACAACTTCCTAAATTCTGCTGGCTTGTGTTTGGAGGATAGCTCACCTACTTTCTCTGCATTCAGTGCTTTTTCTCCATTTCCATCACAGGTCACAATTGGTAGAATACCTAACTCCAAGGCTGGTGTAGTTTTCTTTCAGCATTACCACAATATTGACTGTAAGTTCCAACAATCTCACAAAACATTGTACTAATACCAACACATACCATTGATTCAAGCTGCATTAAAGAAATTGAAATGTGTCATGATGACGGGATATGTAGGCAGGGAAATGTAAGATGGAGTCAGACAGGTTCTGTATGAGGATAATTTGAGAGACATTGGAATGTGTTTTTTGTAAGTGCCATAAGAGTGTTTTCCTGAAGACTGTTACAGCTTGGTTCGAGATAGCGATGAAGGTCAAGGATGGATGACCTCATAGAACACTTAGCTGCCGCCTAGTTCATTAGTGTCCCAGATTTAAGCAGAGGTTATTAGCAAAGTCCTCAGATCTGGCACCAGCTTCAAAACCAACAGCGACAATCTCCTACAGTTCCGAGCACCAATGTAACATTACAGCACAAATACCTGAGGAGAAAGTATCCTCAGATTTGGATGATGGCAATAATTCCTCCCCTGCCTCTCTGTCTCCATTTGTCTCTACAGTAGATTTGTTTGTGGGAGACAATACTCCACTGTACCATCTGAAGACCCTGGTTCATATTTCAGTATGATGCTTCATGTGGCAAAATGTTTATGATTGGGTCTCAACAACCACAACAAACTGAAGATCAAGTATTCAGCAGAGTTCCGTGTAGTAAATCTGCACTTTTTAAACTTTCATTCTTACTGGTCCTTTACTGATACGGCAAAGCAATCATGGAATGGACTTTGTACAGTTCAACTCACATCTTGGTGCATAGAGAACCTCTACAGAGTGCAGGAAGGAAGAGCAAACTTCCTTTCTAAGCACCGTACACCAAATTCTTTAACTGTGGAAAATACACAAACAAAAAATAGAGGTCATTCACAATCTAGTCAATAGAGAAGCCAGAGAATTTGATCTCTGTAATGTACTCAGCAGCATTAGGCATGCACACTGCCAACTATCAAACAACAATAGTCACATATCAACAATTTATATGGGAGAAAATTATCCCATTGTTGTGTACCTTATGTGACAGGTTATTGCACTGACCTTCCAACAAGAAGCTCACACACTGGCTGTCCAACAAATCCACTATTGTTACAAGTATTCTGTGTGAGGTTTTGTATCATCTGACACACCTGTGGAGGGAAATAGCTGCTGCCAATGATTTTGCTGATTATGCTGATTTGCTTATTAAGAGGGCTCATTTAATACTAAGAATGAAGCACTGCAAGATTTGTTTAAAACAAGATATATGGCAAACACTTTCAAAGTACTTGTGCTGATAGTGACAGAACTCAATGTACTATACCAGCAAACAGGTGGCACTCATTTTCTGCAGCATCTTCTAACAACGTAGCTATGGGAATGGTACATATGCACATATGTTCCCTGTTGCAATACATATAGCAGGGGAAGACAAGAAAGCAGATGGTCTAAGTTGCCAGAATGCACAGAATCATGAATGGAAGCTATTTTCCAAAATGTTCCACATCATAACTACTCAATGGAGTTAACCTTAAACAGATTTTTTTCCTACATATCACAACAGAAAATGCAACCTATTACTGCTCATGGGCAGGTACAGGGCACTGTGCACTAACTAGGGGACCACTTCACCCTGAGCTGGAAGAGTCCGTTCATGTCCTATTATTCCCATTAGCTCTGATTCACAGGGTGTTTGTGAAGCTGAATCAGGAGCAAACAAACACATTCCTCATTACACTGTCATGGTCACATCAGGCTTGGTTTCTGCCACTACCTGAAATGTCAGAACAGCATGTGAGGCTTTTAATCACTTCCAGATCTATTGATATGCCAACCATGTAAGGTCAGATATTGCAGCCTAAAAACACTGCAGTTAAAGCAGGGAGCATTCAGCTATGAGAATTTTCTCTCCATCACCTTCAAACATCTAGGAAGCCATCAGCAAAAAAGTCATATACCTATATGTGGCCAAAGTATGTGTCTTTTTGCAACATCAGTGAACCTTATAAAAACCATCCACAGACATTGTGTTGAAGTTGTGTTTTTTTTAAAGGACATTCATGCTTAAACATTTATTTGGAAGGTATTGCAGCAAATCACCTGAATACCTCACAAACATCATTGTTCTCCATTCCAATAATTAAAAGCTTCTTAAAGGGTCTGAACAATTTGTTCCAAATTAAGTGCAAATTGTAATTGACAAACTGGTTTTAAAAAAATCTCCAGGCCATTAATGAATTCCTTTTATATTTATAACTGCAAGATGAATTGAAAACGTGTGTTTAGTATTGAATGCTCTCAATAATTAAATTTAAGTTGTATGAATTTGTTTGTGTTGCCCTTCTACGTTTGTCCTTTAAAATTGTTTTTCTGTTATCTTTGTTTCTTTTGGATATAGTTTTGTGTTGAAACATTTTAATAAAATATTTAAAAAACCTGTTTGTTTCCTAGCAGAATCAACCCTCCACTTTCTTGGCATTTACTCAATTTACATCTTCTCCCTTTGAACCAACGGCAATGACAGATCTTCGTCTGCTTTCTTTAAAAACAGCCTTCTTACTGGCACTCACACCTGAAAGAAAAGCAAGTGAGTTATGTGCATTCTACCAAGATCCACCTTGCATTCAATTTTATAAAGAAGAAGTTGCACTTTATACAGACTTATATTTTCTATTTAAGTGGTCTTTGATTTTCATAAATACCAAGCTTCTGCTCACTAAACTGACCTTGAAAGAAGGATGTAAAGGCCCTACATATCCTGGCTTTCTATATTTCAAGGACAAAGTAATTTAACAAGAGCCCAAAACTGTTTGTATGTTAACATGGTCTTTGTAAAGGCCATCTGGTCTCTTCCCACACAAAATGGCTGCCACTGGACTGTCATATGAGCTGGTGAAAGTACCTCCCCAGATCATGCCAGAAGTCACTCAACAAGAGCTATCACTGCATCAATAGTTTTTCTTAGAGGGATTCAGCTGCAGGACATTTATAGAGCTGCAACTTGGTCCCAGCCTTTGACATTTGTAAACAGAACTGATCTAAGGACATGATCAGATGTATCATTTGGACATGAAGTGTTCAATGTTTCCTTTTTACTTATCAAAATGTTTATACATTACCTTTCAGTTGAAAAGGGCCACCAAACTGAAGCACAGCTTCAAAACAAAAAACAAAATGATGACATTTCAACGCCAGGTCAAAACCTTCCTGTTCCAGAAGGCTTTTAATTGAAATAATATTAGCTGTGGGTCCAATGGCAATTTTGATATATATTTTAATTGCATTTTAATTGTTCTGAATTTTTATTGTATTTTA